CAAAAAGAAAAACTAAAATCAATACGTTATCCCAATACCTCCAGCAATTTCTCTACTTTTTATATATCCACAAGCAATAAAATAAGTAGACACATGCACAGCAATGTTCACCGCAGTAGCAGTATGTTCACAATAGCAAAAAGATGGAGATAGTCTACATGTCCATCAATGGGAGAACGGGTAAACAAACTGGTACATACACACACAATGGAATACTATGCTTCTTTTAAGAGTAATGATGAAACCGCTAAATACCTAATAACACGGATCAACCTAGAGAATATAACACATTTTGAAATTAGTCACAAAAGAACAATGCCTAAGACCATTAACATGAAAGCTTAAGAAAAAATTTCCATACTAAAAGAACAATTCTTTGATGGTTACCAGGGTGAGAGGGAGGGGACCGTATGTTACAGGTTAGGGGTGATACCATGGGTGGATGGGGAAGGCAATACATACACAAGGGGGAGGCATAGATGAACAAGGAAATTAGGGGATGACTTAGGGAGGTGTGCATGAGCTAAATGGTAAATAGTGATGTATAGTCAATCTTGGAGTCCTTGTGTGGTGCTATGAGTTAAAGCACTGAATTGCAAGGTCAGTTTGAACCACAAGGTTGGTGGTTCAAACTCAACAGCCAATCCTCAGAAACCCTGTACGGGGTTGCTATGAGTCAGAATTGACTTGATGGTACTTAACAACACTCAACAATGGAACAAAGGTCCTCTGTGATACAGTGATCTGAATGGGTAAAGGAGGGGAAATAATGCTATGGTGTTTGACTGTTTTGTGGATATTGGATTCCCCTTCCTACAAGAGTAAAATAGACATTAAGTGGGATAGAAAGGAATATTGAGGAATATGATTACAGAAAGTGTATAAGCCTATGTTTAACCTGTAACTGATCAGATTAGCTAAAAGAGGTCACTAGCATTTGTCCAAGAAAATAGACTTCTTGTTAAACCTTTGTGGAGTAAGTGGCCATAGGTAGAATCCTGAGCCCCTCCAGAACTTTCTGAGGTGGGACATTCCCACTTGAAAGGACAAGCAGATAAACCTCTAGTGGCTAGAGGAACAGAAGGCATTTCTTGAAAGAAACAACAACAGTGTTTTTTGTTGTTTTTTTTTAAAAAAAAAAAAGGTCTGGTGAAATGAGGGGGTGCGGGAGGACAGGGATAAGATTTTTTTGATTCAATAATTAGTTACTGTTATGATGAATTGCGATGGTCACAACTGTCAATGTAGAAGATGTGAAACTAAAAGGGGCGAGCAGTTAATCTTTCATTTCTGGAAGAGGATCCTAGGACCATAAAGAGGAAGAGCATGAGTGGAGCATGGGATCCTAACCAGAAAACCGGACACAGCAGAGACAGAGGCAGAGGCAATGGCATAGAGAGATAGAGCAGCTGAGGACTCTAGACCCATGAAAACAGAAAGGTTGTGTGCATGTGGGTAGGAGGCTGGCTTGCAACATGTGTCCTTTGACATTTAAATGAGTATGTATATTCTGTATGTTTTGTGTACATCAAAAAAAAGGGGGGGAGAGGGGGAAAATAGAGGTAAATACTGTTAACTGATGGTGCATGGAGGGGATTGTAATCATTTCAACAAAACAAAATATGATGTGTTGAATATAAAACTGATGATCTGCCCTGTAAATTACCACTCAAATCACAATAAAAGCTTTTTTTTAACAAAAAAGAAAGGGTCCATCAATTGAAATGTTTCAACAAATGGATGCAACGCTAGAGGTACTCACTAGACTAGGACATGAAAGCTGCAAAACCTGGCCATCTAGAAGGTTAGACACATAATTGTGTCCATTCCAAAGACAGATGATCCAAGAGAATATTGAATTTTTGAATAATTATTAGTATCTCATGCAAGTGAAATTTTGCTAAAGATTTAATTTAAAAAGGAAACTGCCAGAAATTCAAGCCAGATACTTTGGTAGCATAGTGGTTACAAATCAGGCTGTGAACCTCAGGGACAGCAGTTCGAAACTACCAGCTGTTCTGCGGGAGAAAGATGAGGCTTTCTGCTCCTGTAAAGATTTACAGCCTCGGAAACCCTGTACAGGGTCGCTATGAGCTGGAATCGACACCATGGCACGTAACAACAACCAATAGAAAAAGCAGAACAAGGAATGTCACTGCTGACAAAGCAAAAATATCAGAAAGATGTTTAGTTGTGTTTTATTAACTACGCAAAGGCATCAAACTGTGTGGATCACAAACGAACTATGGAATAACATTATGAAGAATGAGTATTCCAGAACACTAATTGTGCTCATGTAGAACCTGTACACAGATGACCAACAGACTGGGGAGACTGAGTAGTTTAACATGAGGAAAGGTGTGTGACAGAGCTGTATGCTTTCATAAAACCTGCTCACTCTGTTTGTTGAGCAAATAATTCAAAAAGCTGAACTATACCAAGAAGAACATGGCATCAGTATTGAAGGAAGACTCCTTAACAACTTGCCATCTACAGATGACACCATTTTGCCTGCTAGAAACGAAGAGGATTTACAATACTTACTGATAAAGAACAAAGGCTACAGCCTTCAGTATGGGGACTACAACTCAATGTAAACAAAACACAAATCCTCACAACCAGACCAATAAGCAACACCATGATAAATGGAGAAAACATCAAGGATTTAATTTTATTTGGATCCACAAGCAATTAAGCAACATATTGCATTGGACAAATCTGCAAAATACCTCTTTAAAGCATTAAAAAGCAAAGATTTCACTTTGAGGGGTAAGGTGCAGCAGACCCAAGCCATGTTATTATCAACTACCTCATATAAATGCAAAAACTAGACAGTGAATAGCAAAGCCCAAAAAATGGATGTCTTTGAATTACAGTGTTGGTGAAGATTACATACATCACGGACTGCCAGAACAAACTTGGGAAGGGATGCCGCCAGAATGCTCCTTAGACACATAGATGGCTCGACTTAGTTTCACATACTTTGGATGCGTATGAGGAGACACCAGTCCCTGTGTGATAATGTAGAGAGTCAGCAAAAAAAGAGAAAGACCCTCAATGAGAGAATGACACCATGGCAGCAACGACGGACCCAAACACAGCAATGATTGTGAGGATAGTGCAGTGTTTTGTTCTGTTATACACAGGATAGCTATGAATTGAAACTGACCCAACGGCACCTAACAATTTAGTTTTAAAAAGACTTGAGAGGGCATTGGTTTAAGGTTTAAAGATTATCTCAGGGCAATGGTTTTGGGGTTCATCTAGGATTCCATGAGAATCTGAAATTCTGTTCTGATCCACAGGGTTTTCACTGACTGATTTTCAGAAGTAGGTTGTGAGGCTTTCCTTCTTAGTCCACATACATCTGTAAGCTCTGCTGAAACCTGTTCAGGATCCCAGAAACACACATGCTTCCACTGAAAGCTGGGTGGTAGCTGCACATGAGGCATCCTAGCTGGAGAGAGAACTTGGGGGCTACCACCAGGAAGGGGAAAATTATAACACTGATGTACCACTGACCCTGGAATTATTCTAGAAACGGGCTACTAAGTCTCATGTGGCCTAGCAAGCACTTGGAATGCGGCTAATCAGAACGAAGAAGGATTCAAAGTATAGAATATACTGCATATCGAAGACTTAATATATATAAAAAAAGTAAAATACTTCATTAACATTTAAAAATATTTTGTTACATGTTGAAGTAATTTTCAGAAATATTTTAACATATTGACATATTAAAGTTTCATATTTCTTTTTACTTTTTTAAATGATGCTACTAAAAATTTAAATTTACATATGGAGATGGTATTTGTGGTTTGCATGGTCTCTACTGGGCAGTCTTATTGTAAATGAAATGACAAGCTACACAATAAGAAGCAGTTCTCAGGCACCTGCTACAAATGCCTGCAGCCCAGTCCCACTTATGGAAGCTTCCCCACTCCCTACCCAAGTCCTGAGGACCTGGCAACCCCTAAGGGGTCCTCCTGGGCATATGGAAAAGAAAGTCAATGTGCTCCCTGTAGCAGTCCTGGCATTGCCCTGCATTCGCTCAGCTCTGATGACAGCCTTTAGTGGTTCTACACAGGTAGACTCTAGCTCATGACAGCATTCTGCTTGGATGACTGTCAAAGTCGTTTCTGAAGGTTTTTTTTTTCCCCTCATCATTATTTCCTTTTATACATCTGATCTTTGAATACTTTCAAGTAAACATTTGAAAATAACATGAGCAAATTATGTGTTACAACACTGGATGTAGTACATATAATCAAAGATATAAAATACACCAAAAAAAAAAAAAACAACTAAAATAAGTTTTTGTTTTCTTGGTGAATTTTATATCCTAAGTGCAGTTTGTCACAAGGCTACGATGTTGCCCAGTGGTGACTCTCTGTACACAGTTGCGGTCTCTCATGCACAAGTGGCAGACTGAGAGCAACAGCACATCATGAGAGAGAGAACCTGAAATGAGGCAGCGGGCACGATTTGTTAATGGCTCTGCCATCTTACTGTCAGACCATGGCCAAGTCACTTGCTCTTTCTGAACTCCTATTTCCTCATGTGTAAAAAGGGCATCATAATGCCAGCACGTGTGGTTGCTGAGGCTCCAGTACAATCATGCACAATGCTCGATAAATCAAACAAAATGGGAAATTAGGATTGGTAAGTATGTTCACACATGGCAGGACTTTGACCTGTTACAACAACCCAGTAACATCATTTCAACCTTTAGGGTCTTTGCCCACCCAACAAGGGTCTGAGCACTGATTTGTGGCCTAGATTTCTTGCATGCTCTCGAAGTTCTATCCCTTACAAATTTCTCAATAATAGGACAATCTAAATGCATGACTCCTCGATTCTTCATCAAGGCAGCAAAATCAGGGATCTTTGGATTCCTGTCCTGGACATCCACTTGACAGCTCTTAGTCATCCTCCCTCACCCTCCACTTTCCCACCAAGCTTTAACAGAGAGCTCCTCAGGCATCCTCAGTTCTGGTTACCTTATAGGGCACTTCTCCCAGCCTCACTGTTCTTGCTTGTTTCAGCCACGTGTCCCTGGAGTGCAGAGTGTGCACACAGTCCCTATAGGAGATAGCAGGGAGACAAAAGTTCAGTTCATATCCCAACCTGATGTGATGTCCTTTACACACAAATCCGCAAAACTGAGGTACCAGATGACCCTGTAGGTGAAGGAAGTTCAGCTCTGCTGACTCTCCCTAGGCTCTGCCTTGTGACCAGCTGCAGGCCCTGCTCCTAAGGCAACCAGAGGATCTGGGTCCAACACACGACCCCTAACTGTGGCATCCTGTCTTTTTCAGGAGTCTGTCCATGTAGATTCCTAAACTAAATGGATTTATTTTGTCTACAGCTTCATGCATTGGCTTCTCGTCTCCTCCCCTTCCTAGGTGTCCTTCTCCTCTACTGTCCAAGGCCCATAGTTGTATAAGTGTATTTTCTCACACTGAGTGAGGGCCTGCTTTGTCTTAATATCATGGTCAGGGGGGAATGAACCCCAAAGATTACACAGAAACTAACAATCATGACTTAATAAACTATCATGCAAAACAAACAAGTGATTCCTGGCAGCCTGTAATGGATGGATCCTGTGACTTCACTCTCTTTTCAGAACTAAGAGCTGTACATCAGAGGTTCTCTAAATTCAGGAGAGGGAGACAAGAATCATTATCAGCATCAACAGCCCACGGCTGAGCCCCATCCTTTCCAACCTTTTTACCAGTTCTGACACAAGCTCTCTCTCGACTTCTCTGCTGGGTTTGATAATTCATTGCAATGCCAAAGAACTCACAGACCACAGGTACAGCTCTAAGATTTATTAGGGAAGTTAACAGGCTATAATTCAGGGTCAGGAATAACTCAGTATACAGGTCTCTGATCAGGACAGCATTTTCTCAGTCATGACTACAAGCAGTACCCCTCAGCCTGGCCTCTGCCCTACTTGGCAAATGCTGCAAATGTTACAAAGCTCTTCAGCTCTGCCAGCATATGCCTGGGAGGACATCACTCCATACACCTGGGCCCAAAGGCTCTCAGTTCTATAGCTCCATGAGTAGACATGGGTAGACATGTACCACTTGGCTCTGTGGGTGACTTGGGCCCACTGTGCCGTCTTACAATGATCTCCTGGTTGTGCTGCCATCATTTCTTGCTGTCTTTTGCCATCTCCAGAATTACTCTGTCTCTTACATCAAAGTTCTCAGCACAGAGACCCCAGGTCAAAGGGAATGCTGTGCTCCTGTCTTGCTTTCTTGGTGGTACTGACATTCCTACTTTCTACCTCTGGAAGGGCCCATTTTAAGCCTAGCAGGATGGCAAACCCAATCAATTCCCTCATTAGGGTTCCATAGATCTTATTTGCATACCCCGCGCCCAAAGGGGACCATGCACCTTATTTGTATTATTAGCAGTATGTAGTGGGCCACAAGTATCATATTTGCATAATCTGACCCAATCTTTAGGTGGAAGTCACGTGGTGTGAAAGGCCATATAAAAGTGGTCTAGTATACATCATACTAGAACCAAAGTTGCACAATTTCATTTTCCAACTCTATTTCTTATCAAGTGTTCTCTTTTCCTTACAGAGCCGTCCTCAACAGGTCATGTCCAAATCTTTAGTTTGAGCTGGACTCTCTCCAAAGAGAAAAGCTCCAGCAAGCCAGGGCACCAAGGTTCCCTCAAGTGCAGAAACGACCCTCCAGTCTGAATGTCAGCACAGTACAACAGCTCTAGGTGCAATCCTGCCTGACCCTGAACAACTCACTTTATGTAACTAAGCCTCAGTATTCTCCTACATCAATCAGTGATAAAAAGTCCTTTCCTTTCTACCTGAAAAGACTGCTAGAAAAAACAGACATTCTGTTAGTGCTGGAGCTGGGTTTGTTTGTCAAGAGCATCACAATGTCAGAAATCCACTCCCATAGTCTACGAAGGCTACATACCTATGGCTACACAAAGGAGTAAGTATGTCACAGCTGTGGTCTTCAGATGACTCCTCTCCTCGAATCTAATGCCCTGAGGTAAGTCTTCAAATCTTAGACTGAAACTAACCCTTTAGGTCACCTTGTAGTGAAGTAACAAATTGGCTCAAAAGCTGCTCCTTTAAAAAAATCACCTGCATGAAACATATGAGGGCTTGAAAAAGTTCATTAAAAAAATGGAATCCAAACATAATGAAACTGTCTCATGAACTTTTCACTCGACCAGCTGGAGACATGGAGTCTTGGTACACGCTGCAGTATAGACGTTAACGTGTGGCAACGTAACTAATCGCCAAAGGAAAATATTGTGTGAGGTCTCACATAAATAGAAAAGGTAAATGGCTAGAGATCCAAGTTTGTTAGTGGTTACCAGGGGCAGAAAGGAGGTAGAAATGGGATCTTAAAGGTTATGGGAAAATTGCATTACGGGCAGGGTTGCACAGCTGATTATTATCATTATTATCACGACTTGTACACCTATAAAAAGTTGAATGGAAAAAAGTTGTGTTGATAAGATATATTTACAAATGACAAAAAGAACAGCTGATGAGGCTGCTTAGGAACCTCATTGGAATTGGTTCCATAGTTTAGAGTCATGGTTTCATGGGAGATTCCAATTAAATGGCCTAATAATTTAGCTCAGTGCTTCTGTTCAATGCATAGTGTCTGGTGTCTTAAAGCTTACAAGCTGACATCCAAGGCACAATAACTGGTTTCTAGTCATCTGCAACAGCAGAGGAAGAAGTGTCAGGAATGGAATGGGGATATGAAATGCAGGACTAATTGCATTCATTGCCATGAGGCCATAACTGGATGGTACTCAGCTACTATTAATGAACATTTTGGTAAAAAGATTCCACAGAAAATCCTGATTCAAAAAGGAAAATGCAAACAGAATTTCATATTCTCATGGATAATCTGTAGACTTTCTGGAACCACAGAGGGTAGAAGAACCCCGGAAAACAATTGCCCTGAGATAATCTTTATACCTTAAACCGAACACATCCCCAGAAAGAATCTTAAAACTGAATAATAACTTAAGTTAGTAAAACAAAAGGTCTGCTTAAGCATCATAATCTCTTAATAGGATATGGGATCAAACCGACAAAAGTACCTTGAAAGGTTATACAGAAAACTTAAGGAGCAGTGAATTTACGTTAGTGAAAGAGGAACAACTCAGAAAAGGAGGGTGACAATGATTGCAAAACTTGAAGAATCAATGTCACTACATGCAGACACTGGTGAACTGGTGTTATTTCTGCTGTGTATATTTTTAGCAACAATAAAATATATAAAATTTAGGGGGGGGGGGAGCCTATGTAAGACCAAATGATCAACAATGACTTTAAAACAAAGAAGACAATGGAAGGGGGCAGGAACACTAGATTAATGGAAATGGGACAACCAGAATGGAATTGAGAATATTTACACATTGTAAAGAATGCAACAAACATCAATGACCAATCTGTGTAGAAATTGTTGAAGAGGAACCTAAAGAGTCATGTAAACCGTCCTTGTAAACACAGTAAAATGTTACAGTGAATTAGTTCATATGGCTTTTCCACCCATAGTAATTCCCGCAAACGTGTTTCCACTGATGGGTCTGGGTAAGAAAAGGTGGAAGAAGATGATAATAGGATTATATGATTAAGTTGTGAGTGATTAACAAAGCTAATGATGACTGTAAACACTTGAAACTCTGACATGTATAAAATGAACTATAACAGATGCAGGAATGGAGGGATTTCACTACCATATACACAGGCCCAGGAGTGGAATGTGTCCTTTAGACCCTGACATACCTGAACCTCCTAGACCCAGGGACAGAAAGCTGTGACATAAGAGGAGTGGCAGAGGAGCAGCACCAGCAGAACCAAGAGCCAGAGTGCTAAACAGAGCCATGTTTCCACTCAAAAGAAGCAAGCTTAATGAATTCAGATAGGAAACTTGCTTACCGAGTGGGGTGAGCCTCCAGGCACTGAATTGGGAGATTTAGATTGCTCCACCCATGGAGCTAGAGCCAATGGCTTCAACCAGAGGTGTAGTGTTATATCCTGTGGGCATATATGTTGTTGTGTGAAGTGCCACCGAGTTGGTTCCAACGCACAGCAACCCCATATAGGTTTTCTGAGGAACACCTGGTGAGCTTGAACCACCGACACTACAGTTCAAACGGCTTTGCAGTCTGGCATATTAACCCAGAGCGCCACACCAGGACTCCTGAATAGGCCACAATCTTATAAAGGGATTGGCTAGAATAATGTGCAAATTTGGGGTATAAATCATACTGATAGAATTAAGTGACCTATTACTAATTGGTCAATTACCATGCAAATTGAGTGATTGTGATCTACCAAGGGGATTGATAAGAACTGGACCACAAGGTTGCTTTGAATCAAAAGGTCGGGGGTTCAAACTCACCAACAGCTCCTCAAAAACCCTATACAGGGTCACTATGAGTCAGAACTGTCTCTAAAGCACTTAACAACAATAAGGGGATTGGTCAGTCTGTACAATGGAATGGCTGGGAGGGTTATACCTCAAAAGTGAACATAAAGGCCAATTTCACAGAGACTGCGGGTGGGGAAGGCACACCTGATATTCAGCAGAATCTGGAGCAGACAGCGTTTTCTGGACTCCAGGTTCCTGTGCTAAGAATATCCTAGGACTAAGAAGAGAGCTGGAACTCTGAAAATTGTGTGAGATGGTTAAGAAATGGCAGCAACACAGCAAAGCATAGCAGCAGGGACACCATGATAGCAGAACAAGTGAGAACCAAGAGGGTCACATGAAGTTGGCTAAAGTTGGCTTGCTAGCACATGGAATCAGAGAGAGCTGAGTACTTCGGGGTAGGATATGTGCTGGTGGAATAGGGTGACTCTAGGTACTTGTTGGCAGAGCTAAAGAGCTATAACCCTTGCCTGAGCAGGGCAAAGGCTCAAAATATGATGACTATCTAGAAAAAGAAAGAGGAAAAAGAGTGTAACGCACTAAAATTTGATGAACTTGACCTATACTTATGGATGGAGTAGTAACTTAAAAAGAGGGAAAGAATCTACAGTGAGTATCACTGCCACCCCCACTACACAGGGTTGACAGGGATTGGCAACTTAGACATTGACTACCCAAAATAGTGGTGTAAGGGGTTGGGCAACAAAGGCACAAAGTGGCTGGCTTACAACCTTTCAAGAGGGAACTTAGTTTCAGAGGATGCAGGAGAAGGTAGAATTTCCACTAAGTGGTTTCCAACCTAGCTAGATGGGGCTGGTGAAAGGAGATGGGGATAAGACTCTTGTGGTTCAATAGCGAATAACTGCTATCAGGACTGATTGTGAATATTGCAAATATAAAGGTAGACATTTTGTAACAAAAGAAGGGGAGTGGTGGATCTGGCAGTCCAGGAATGGAAGACCCTGGGACCATCAAGGGAGAAGAGTAGAGTGCGGGACCCTATTCAGAGAAGCAGTGATGACAGAGGTGGAGGCAGAGACAATAACGTGGAGAGATGGAGCAGCTGGGGACTCTAGACTCAAGGAGGGAGAGGGGCTGTGGGCTGGCGGCCAAGAAGCTGGCATGCACGGTATGCCCTTTGGTTGTTTGAATGTTTATATAATCCTGAGTGCTTCAGTGTACATCCAAAACAAAACAAAACAAAAAATAGGGCAGGGATTGGAAACAAATGCTGTTGAATGATGATGCATGGAAGGGATTGTAATCATTGCAATGAAATGAAATACGATACGATGAATGTAAAGCTGATGCTCTCCCATGTCATTCAACTCACAATTAAAAAAAAAAAAAGATGACTATCATACCTGGAGCTGTGGGAAAAAGCATTGGACCAAAAGGTCGGTTTGAACCATAAGGTAGGCAGTTCAAAATCACCATACGCTCCTTGGGAAGTCTATACAGGGTTGCTATGACTAGGAACCAATTTGAAGGCACTTAAGGTGCTCTGGTAGCGTAGTGGTTACAAAATCAGGCTGCTAACCTCAGGGTCAGCAGTTCAAAACTATCAGCTGTTCCACAGGAGAAAGATGAGGCTTTCTGCTCCCGTAAAGCTTTATAGCCTCAGAAACCGTGTGCAGGGTGGCTATGAGTCAGAACCAAGTCCATGGCACACAACAACAACAACAACAACACTAAATCACAGCTAAGAAGGGCCTATTGGTTGACACAGCCAAGAAGAGCCTCCTGCCCGAGGGCATAGGAAAGCCGCTTAGAGCTGACATGGATGAAAGTTGCTCCTGTTTTCTGAGTTGTAGCCAGTTACTTCCCTAATAAACTGCATAATCGTGAGTATGGTCTGTGAGGTTTTGTGTGGCCAGTGGAACGAATGATCAAACTCAACAGAGAAGCATGGGAGCATGGGGCGGGGCGGTTTGAGGACAGAGGGTATCAGAAAGAATGAAAAATGGGAGAATAAAGGTATGTCTGATCTCCACCTCACAGGAATCAGCTTTGTGCTATCTTGATTCTCAGCACTTCTCCTAAACGCAGAGACGCCTCAACGTTAAGCTTACACCAATCCTCCCCCTACAAAAGCATACACACAAACACACTAGAGCCCATCCCTGATTGTGCTGTGCACAAGTGAGATGTGCTTATCCAGGCCTCTGTCTAGGACGAAGGATGCAACCATGAAGCAAGCACACAAGGTCACCTCAGCTGCCTCACTCACCTGGAGTAGACAGCTTCTCCTCGACAGTACCCAAGGATCGATGCTGTCTCAGGGTAGATGGCCTCATATTTCAGGAGATGCCTCTTCAAAGCATAAAGAGGATGGTTCTTATATGTGCCAATGGCAGTGGGCAAAGGCTGGTCCAGGTGTTTTGCCTGAAACTGCAAAAGCCAGAAAATGTGCTATTATATTAAGACGTGAGGGCTGAGAAGGACAGTGCTTGGACCGGCTGATTGTGATAACTACTAGTGGAGCACAAGTCTCAGGAGCACTACTGCCTCTCTAGTGCTGCACTGGTAGTTCTGGTCATGAAGCAGATTTTAGATAAACCCAAAGCTGTAACTATCAAGTCATTCTGTGGCTTACTACAAGTTCATCCAACCTATTCTCACCCTCTTAGACACAGTAACCAGTCCTAGCAATTAGTACTTGCCCTGTTAAATATCATCAAGGAAGAAAAATGCACACTTTTTTCAGTAGGGAGGTCTTACTAACCCTTACCTAACCATAGCATGGATGTAGGTTAAACTGACCCTGCCCTCAGAAGAAACTGAGACAAAGGGTGAGCATCCTGTGGCTGTCTCTGAGTCTCTGTAAGAAGTATATGTTCCCTTATCACTTTTCTATAGCTTCTATTTCTTAGAAGTCAGTTCCACCACTGTAATCCACAAGTCTCTTCAGCTTTTGCTTAACATCTTTTCAAAACTCCGCAGTAAGTCATGAGGACTCAATAAGGGGTAGTAGAAAGCAGGAAGGGAGGATGCATATTCAACTCCCCTGACACATTGTTAGTAGCAAAAATATCTGCATAGTTCCCACTTAGTCGGCCATTTTTAAGTAAAGTTAACCAAAAACATTTCCAATACAAACACTTAATGTACGAAGAATTGAACTGCTGCAGGGAATGCTAAATCTAAGTTACAGCATCCTGAGTGATTCGGAATAAGCATTCTGTAAAACCAGGGATGTTCCCTAAAAATGTGCCAAGCTCTCTGCAAAGACTCAACTATAGTGCGCAAGAAGCTTGGCTCTGTTCCTGAGGTCAGGATTAGGGTCTAGCATTCAATAATCAGAAGTGCTGTGCTGTGAGAGCCTCTATTTCCCAGGTTTTAACAAGCCAACAGATTACCTAATTCCAAGCCCTCTCCTTCCCAGAGATCAGTGTTCTGTATGTGCAGAAGGGAAAAGGAAATAATTATATTAACGACTTACTTCCTCTTTCATTTAGCATGAATTACAGCACATTTTAAAGTTCTAAATTTTTAATTAAACAGTACGAAGCTCTGGTAGCATAGTGGTTACGAATCGGGCTGCGAACCTTAAGGTCAGCGGTTCGAAACTACCAGATGCTCCGCGGGAGAAAGATCAGGCTTTCTACTCCCGTGAAGATTTACATCCTCAGAAACCCTGTACAGGGTCGCTATGGGTCGGAACCGACTCGAAGGCACTTAACAACAACAACTGGAATCACACAGTTCTGGAATCACAACCAGAAATATCTCGGTTCAAATACCATACCAGTTAATTTCAGCAATCCTCAATTTTTTTAGTGGTAAAATTAAGGCAGTAATAACCCTACTTTACAGTTGCTGTTAGTGCATGACAGTCAATTCTGACTCACAGCAATGTAGAATCAATTTTCTGAGAAGCAGCTGTGGGTTTGAACCATCAACCTTGGGGTTAGCAGTTTGGGGCTTAACCTGCAGCAGCACACAGTGGTGTTGTGATAATTAATCGAGGCAACACATTTAAAAAGACCCCACACTGTGCCAGGCACCCATGAGGTGCTCACAAAGCGGCATTGTTTCAGTGACCCTGACAACCCATGTCTCACCTCCAATTCTTCTTTATTTTCTCGATCCACAAATGGACTCTGGTATGGCATTAAGGTTTCAGCCCACCAGCTGGCATCAACCCGGCACTTGCGGGTCGCTGTCATCCAGACTGGATCATACCTCTGAGTGACATCCCGCACCCAGCCATCACCATCAATGCCAACGACGTAGGTCACGGGCTTCGTAGCATATCTGTAACAAGTCAGAGGCTGGCCAACTATGCCATGCACACAGTCTACACACACCCACTTTTCCTCCTGTTCACAGAACACCTCCAGCCACTGGTCAACGCAAGCTGCTTTCCCTCGTTCTACCTCCTCACCATCAGTGGGAATTTTCCTGCCTTTCTTGTTAGGCCAAACACTTGAGAATGTTGCTGGTAAGTCTTGGGAATCAGAGCAGCTTTCACTCCAGGTGCAAGAGTGGCTCTTGGACTCTGCCTTTGTTCTCTGAGAAAATGCAGGCCGCTTCTGCCTCAGAATGCAAGGGTCTGAATCTTCACTAGATAGAGAATGAGTAGCTCTACCAGAAAGTTCAAAGTCAGAGTCACTGCTGGTGTCATCGCTCCCACTCTCCTCTTTGTAAGACACACGGGAGGCCCTGGGCCGTTTCCGGACACAGTATTGTCTCGGAATCTCCGGCTCTTCTCCCTTGTCCTCTGCCTCAATGGAACGGGGTTCTCTCTGTTTCTTCCTGCCTGTAGCTGTCTTTCCCCTCTTCCCTTTGGCACTTGGATTGCCAGGATCTTTAGAAAAGGTTTCTTTTTTTTTAGTTCTTTTGTGGGCCTTTGGTTTGGATTGGTTTTCTGGAACTTGGCTGGGAGTTTCTGAGACGCCTCCAGGATCCTCTTTGGATCTCTCTTTATGAGGTTTCTTTCCCTTAAAAAGAATACAAAATTTTGTTATTTTTCTGTTTCCACTAATGATCTGACAGAAATCCTACAACCTAACAGGCTTAGCTCACCGGCAGGAGAACCAGTGTATCCACCAAGGTCCCTGCTCAGACAGTGATCAACTGGCTATCCTTAGAGAGATACGAAAGTATTACTAAAATTGGTAGCCTCTTAGATAAGGCAGGGTTTCATTCTTTAAACTGTACACTATAGCACAGGGGGAAAAGCCAGGAATTTAGAAACAGATTAACTTGGGTTCAAATTCAAGTTCTGCCTCTTATTTGCTATATAATAATTTTGGTAAATCATTTAACCAATAAGTCTTAGTTTTCTCAGCAACAGTAATAACCACCTGGCACATACTGCATTCTACACATAAAGCGTTAAGGATTTAATAAAGTTATAGTTTTAAGATGACAGAAGTTACTAAAATCAACTTCTGGATCATCAGGTTTCAGATAATGCTGACCATCCCTTTTTCTGGAGGATCTCAACATTCACAGTCCTTCTCTCATTATTGTACCACACTGCTAATGAAGAGAACAAGTACCATCTTAGCCACTGTAAAGAAGACAAACTAAAGTGCCAAGGAGCAAAGATCTCACGCAGGCCACTATGCATCCAGGAGGCAAATCCCCACACGGAGGCTCAGGTTTCTAGAGGCCCACTCAAGTCTTCCGCAACCTGGGGTATATGCAGGGGTATATGAAAAGGACCCATGTGCCAAGAATCTCACTGCCACCAAGTCAATTCCAACTCAAAACAACCTTATATAGAGTTGCTGAGGCTGTAACTTTATGGGAGCAGAAACCCAGATCTGTCTTCCACGAAACAGCTGGTGGGTTTGAACTGCTGACCTTGATGTTAGCAGTTCAGTGCTTATCCTACAATATACCACCAGCACCCCTATGCTCCATAAACGACAAACCTTAAAATTTTCTAGTAGTTGATTTTTTTGTTACTTTAAGTGTAATCATTTTTCTCACGTTACTGATCAAGTACTCCTTTTTCTTTGTAAGTCATGGAAGCTCACCTTTGCTGCTGACAACTTCAGAGGAATTGGCTGGAGAGATAACACCAGTCGGGTGAGGAGATGCAGGGCCCGAAGAACCAGTAAAAACATCTGTAAGGATAGAAAAGATCCAAGAATTTAGTTATTGAGTGATGGCTGCCATGGTGATTATCTACAACAGAAAAGCGGAAAATAACCGAACTATATGAACACAGGCGACTGAAAGCCTCAACATTATTAAAAGCAATGTTGTTGTTGTTGTTGTTAAGTACCGTCGAGTCGGTTCCAAGTCATAGTGACCCTACACAGGGTTTCCGAGGATGTAAATCTTTACAGGATCAGAAAGATTCATCTTTCTCCCATGGAACAGCTGGTAGTTTCAAACTGCCGACCGACCTTGAGGCTGGAGCCCAACTCGCAACCACTAAGTTACCAGAGGTTCTCCATTAAAAGCAATGATACCATAAACACAGAAGTTTATCTGTGTTAAAAAATAAAGACTCACCATGTAATAAGAGAGAAGTTTTAAGAGACTTCTGGCAAGATGGCAGACTTTAATAAAGATACAGAGACTAAATGACACAGATGAGAAAAGAATCCTGGAACCCTGAATTTTACAGGAAAGGTTAGAGAAGTGGATTGAGTGCTTACTGAGAAGAAAAGCTGAGCAAGGAGAGCAAGAGAGGGAGACTGACTGGGGAATGGTCGCATCTTGAACTTGTATGAGCAACTTTGGTAACAGAAGGTGGCACGGCAGATCAGATTCACACAGTCAACAGAAAAGGTGCGATTCCTTCTTTTTTCCCAATGCTCCCCTGATAACCAGACATGTGTTCCAGCTCCCAACCTCATGCAGGTCCTGCTCTTCAGGAGCTTTGAGCCCATGGCTGGGAGCCACGCCAGTGTGATGAGGGGGCTGGCTGTGCTGTTTTGGGGTCTGGATGTAGAAGGCTTTGGCTCCAGATTTATAGAACCTGCAGAGCCAACAGTATTTAACTCATCACACTGCCCCCAGCTGCCCTGTGGTCCTAAGAGACACCAAACCCAGAAAATCACGGGTCTCCATGAACTACTTTCTGACTGAGTACCCTGAACACAGATAACGCCAAGGCTGATAAAACTCCATCTAGGGCCAGGAACTCCACTGTCACATCCCTTCCCTTGAATTTTATCCTATCTCCACTTTTGTTTGTCCTTCTTTGCTTCCGTTTCTCATTTCCCCTCTTCATTTTCTTCCCCCTTTTGATCTTTCTTTACTACTCTTTACTGTCTTTTTCTTTTCATCTTTTCTCTCCCTGGTTTTTCTTTCATTCATTTTCCCTCTTCTTTTTTCCTGTCCCTCTTTTCTCTTTTTAGTTACTATATTCTTTTTTTTTTCCTGATTGCTGCCTGTTTTTATTTATTTATTCCCCTTTATTAGTTTCTCTTTTATTGTTGCTGGTATGTCTGGTTATTTTATTTTGTTTTCTGGTGTGTGTGTATGTGTGGTGGAAGGAGATTTCTTTTCTCTTCCACACAACAGGAAACAGCAACTGTGCCCATACAGCCATAGAGCAAAGTGTCAGAAACTAAAAGAGAGATGTTGTGTAAAAAGTCAAGTGATGATGAGAAAAATAATTTTTGTTGCCTTGCTTTTTCTAGGGCTAAAAACAGACAACTAAGAAAATAAAAATGAGCCAATACTGAGTAACATGCTACAAAGTTCCTAACCAGACCACTTCAAAAGTGTCAAAGTGATTAAAGAAAAGGAAAGACTGAAAAACTAACATATTAGAAGATACCGTAAAGAGATATGATGAATAAACACAATATGATTGTATCCTGGAACTGAAAAAGGACGTTAGTGGAAAAACCTGGCAAAAGCCAAATAATTTCTGTAGGTTAATGGATAATGTTGTACCAATATTAATTTATAGGTTTAGCATGTTCAGCACAACACAGGAGTATAGTTCTAAAAGTTCACATAGGTGCTGCGAAAATGCAGTCAAAAATAGTGGACGATCTTTCTCCCATTAACTCCCCAATATATATCTGCCCACCTATACGGTAGTGGCTAGAGGAGAGGCCTGAAATAGGGGTCACTCCGACCCCTGCTGGAGGCTTCTATTTGCACACACACTGATGGAGTAGCACGGGGAAAGTTGACCAAAGCCACATCTCTGCTCCAAAGTGATGATTTTTGTCTATGTGTCTATATTACTTCTGCTTTTGGTCCTTTTGCTCACACATCTTTCCTGGAGGTGGGAGCTTTTCCTCCCTGTGTCACCTAAGAATAGACAGGAATTGTGGCCATACAGGCAAGCTATAAGCATACACCATAATACTCTACCGCTGAGACAAGACCTAACAATACCTGCTATGCATTACAGGCAATAAGAGAAGCCTATCTCCTGATCATATTAATAATAATAATAATGACGAATAAGAAACAACAAACCTTATCAAAGCACATTCAAAAACAGAAGAGAGCAGCTGATGCAAATGAGCTGGAGACAGACAAAGGCTTTATAGTGGAGGAGGAGCGGGTTTTAGATATGCCTGAGACAGAATTCAGAAGACTGATATGGAAACAAAT